TCCAATCATAGGGATATATCGCATATAGCATACGGCGGAATTAGGCCCGGGGCAATGACGAGTTAAGTGCCCGCGCCGCTTTTAATAGCACATAAATTAACATAAGCGACGGCGGCCTTTGTTTTGCCAATGACGTTGCACGGCGTTCGCATTCAAATGCCACCAAACCCACTTTTCCGGGGTGGTGGTGGCAGTGGTGGTGGTGTACTCCGCACCACTCGGCACCCACTGCGGTTTTTGTTTGCCCATCAGATAGAAATCTGCATTACCCACCCCTCTCTCACTCACTATTTCACTATTCGCCTTCCCTTTCCACGGCGCAGCTTAACGCTGAAAGTTGCTTTCGCTGCCTCCTCTCCCTTCGGAATGCGGGGAAGAGAGTGCGGAAACGGGAGACTAAAGGCTAGAGTGAGAAAACAGGGGACTCGAGTGGCCTGCACAGTGGGCTATGTTTCAGTTTATTAACTAAACTCTTCTTTAGTAATTATATTTTAATCACTAATATATTGCTAATATAATATATTTATACTTATTATTTTATAAAAATTAAATTATTATTTTATAAAACAACACTTCAGATTGGCCGTAAAATGTTGCGTTCTCTGCCCACTGTGCAGGCGAGAGCCGAATGTGATGGCAAAGAAGTAAAGCGAAAAAAATGAATAAATAAATAAAAGTGCTTTGGCTTCATTAGGCGATTAGCGGGACTCAGAGGAATGATGATCCTGTTGGCAGGGCCCGGTTTCGAGATTCTCATTCCGGTCGCCCTTTCACCCCCACTTCGGCATTTCGGGTTTTGGCTTTGCTCTGCTTTTTCCCTGCTTTCACCTAATGCGCGCCTGCGCAGCAAGTCAAGTGCGAATCATGTCAATCAGGACCAGTTGCGGGATGGAAACCAGGACGAAGGACCGTTAAAAAATGTGTCGCTCGGCCACGCCCCCTCCCCTTTTTTGATGTACATTTCTTTTTTTGACAAACTGACAGGCAAATGTCAGCGATTTACAAAACGTTTAAGCTCCCCGCTCTTTGTCCACTTCACTGCTCGTGAAACAACAAACACACAGGGCAGTTTCCCGAATTTCCCTCCACTCGACTCAGCTCAACTCGAAAACTCGCTCATATTTGTTTTTCATAAGCGAGGAACAGCAACAGCCACTGGAAAAAATGTAAATTTTCACCCAAATAGAAGAGGGACGACGACGGCACGCGTGTAATCGCCCGGAAGCGTTTCGTTCGCAATCCCATTTTTTATATTCATTTTTATTGTTTTGTCGCCCGTACAAGTCACCCCCTTTTCGTGGAGCGTGCAACGAGCGACGGGCAACGGGCAACGAGCAACGAGCAACTTGCAATGTGCCACCAGCAACATTGCAACATTGCAACATCGCAGATGCATTGTAACCATTATTATTTCCATTACCATTTTACATGGGGTGGCTTGATGCTCCGGCCCAAAAAGCTTCAAGTTGCATCATTAGTTGCCTGCAAATTTGCATGACTTGTGTGCCTTTTGACCTGCGGCAACAGACGGGGCACATGGCACGTGGCACACAAAAATACTCCTATATCGCATATGTCGCATATGGCATATAGCATATAGCACACGGCCAACTGTCACTCCGAGCCGCCGGAACTGCGCCGTCATCCGCCGATCGCTCATTCTGCATTTTGTATTCTGCCCACTCATCATTACACGGCCAGAAAATGTTGGAAAACCTTTGAACTGATATAGGATCTACAAGGAGTTAAGAATAGGAGTCATATTTAAAGTTATGTTATATTATTCACCTCTTTTTAATCAATATGCAATGGAAGAACTTTCTTTACTTAAACTTCCTCAGAAAGGTAAGGCTTACTTACCCAAACGATAAGCCTGATATCCCTAGAAGTGTGAGATTTGCCTTCCCCAAAGCATTTAGTTTCTAGTATTTAACCAGAAATTAGTTTAATTTCTCACCGTGCAGCGGACTTTTGACTTTCACACTTTGCGAATTGCCCACTTCACCCGATCCGATCCGATGCGATTCCGATCGCTAAGCTAATTAGCGGGCTTGCAAAAATTCATTTCACTGCCGCTGCAATCCTCCGTATTTTCTGTTAGCCAGCGGCAACAAAATGTTGCAACCCTTTCGCTTCAGTTTCTGTTTTCTTTTTTTCTTTTTTTTTTTTTGTTTGTATGTTTCAGTTTTTTTTTTTATTCGTCGCCGTTGTACGGACTGCAGTGGAAAATTTGTTTATCATTAACAGATTGCAGCAGCTCGCGCTGGAAAATGTATTATAATTATGCAGCAACCACCCTTGCCGGGATTTAAATATTAAATATATGCCACACGCGGCGAGCGGGGATTTCAATTTGGATGCCCATTGTTTGCATAATATTTGGCAATTATTGGAACACACTCACTGACAGTTTTTGGGAATCCTCGGGACCTCGAACGGGAGTGGAGTATCCTGCCAGGATGCGGATGGTGGCCGGGTTTCTAAGCCGGCTTACCAGCTTTTTAGCGGGGGTTCTGCCTTACGTTTTGTTCCTTCTGTGGTTTTCGTTTTGGGGAGAGTCAGCTTGCAGCTTGCCTTTCGTAAAAGAAAGTTTCTTGCCCCGGGGCCAGTGCGAAAATTCGTTGGCACGGTGACTCCGAGGCAGGGGCGTTTAGGGGGTTAAGGGCGCAGAAAAGGTTCCTTGAAAACCCAATTCGCCCGCGGCGCTGGCAGCGTCTTGTTTGTCAATCAACAACGAAAAACGAGTACGAAAATCCGCGAATGCATCGGCATCTGGCGAAATCTGTTCCTGCCCCCGAGAGCCGAGGTCTCTCGATCCAGAATCCTGAATTTCGAATTAAGAACTAAGAATCCCTTTCAGCCGCAGCACTTCCTTTTTTCTGCGGCCAGCTGTTGATTCACTAACTGCATAATGAAGGAGTGCAAAAAATGTAAGGAGGTGGAGGAGCTGAGACTGAGACCAAAGGAAATCGGGTTTTATAGTCGTTCTTATTTAGTAAGTGTAAAGGAGGAAGTTCGATGTATTCCAGTCTCCTAGATAATTGGGTTACTTTTACACCAGAGGTTAGGGATATGAATTTGTTATAAAGTTTAACTTTTTCGTACTTAAAGTACCTTTGAAACGCCCAAAATCATGTGATATTAAAGGTCAGAGCCATCTTCCCTAAAAACTTGTTGGTCTAAAGTAGCTGAACATTAACCCTTTATCGGTGATCTGTCAGCTGTGACCAGTGTTTCCACACCCTCTTAGCGACACAGGAGCCCCCATAACTGATGCTCAACCATCGGCACTTCCCCCCTTTCGATGAGCATTTGTTTTTTATCACTTTTACAAGCAATTAATTAAATTTTTATCGATTTACCAAGTGACACGCAACCCAAAGGAAGTTAGAGACGAAAGAGGCGAGGACGGAAACGAGTCAAGAAATGTAAATTCGTTGCGTCTTTAAGCCAAGTTCAGGCTAAAGAAAAGGGTTAGACCGTGAAACAAAGGGGTGTGACCAAAGACGACGATATTAGAAATTGGTCTAACGATGCGGGTGAGCACAGCTGGTCACGTCGAGCGGAGCAAGTGCACCCAGCAGGGCATATAACCGGTTACCCAGAACCAGCCAACAGCGAACAGGGAACAGCGAACAGCCCAATGTGAACAATAAAAATAATTCAATTATCTATCGCATCGCAGACTAAATGGCCTACAAATTAGGGACAAGCCCACAGAAATGTGCGATGCGATGACAGGTTGCAGGATCGAGGGATTAGGCGGGTTCCTTCCGCAGCAGTCAGAAAACCTTTCCAATGAGAAAGGTATAGATGAACCTACACCGCACTCAAATCGAATTACAGTGCCAAAAGAGTGTGTGCGAGGGCGTCAAAGTGTTAACAAGTGTCATGTGCCCTAAGATCAGAGATGATCAGAGACAGACTGACAGTGGGAAATAGCTAGATTTTGAAAGGACTCAGTTTAGTATTAACCATAACTAAAAAATGAGTTGAACTTTCAAAAGTGAATATGTCACAGGGGGTGTCTCTCTCTTTGCAAGCTTATAGAAAGATAACTAATAGGACTTTAATATGTGCAAAACGATTCTAGGTAGGATTAATTTAAGCTGCAAGAGCGACAGACAAAAGCTGAAAACGGGGGATGATCTGGCAGCTTGCTTGAAATTATAACTTTAAAAAGGATTTCATTTATGATATACCATATGTATGTATATAATATTTCTTACATATCACATTAAACAGCCAAATTCGATGTGAATATTGCCATTTGAGCAGCACAGGTGAGGATGTGGATAAGGCTGAGATCCTTAGTCCATGCCAACCTCTAGACCATCCTCTGTTTTTCCAGCCATATCCCTGGAAACAAGAGAGATACCCAGCTGTTGCCTGTGTATCTGCCTTTGACTTCGACTGCTTCTTTCCTTCTTTTCCTCCTGGATCCGGGGGCGTGTCGTTGTACCTGTCAGGCATTAAATAATTCTCAATTTCCAACCTGTATCGGCATCGGCGTTGTTTGTTTTGGTCGCCTGAAAAAGCAAAGCAAATCGCTTGGTCAAGCAACTGCATAAATATATGTCTTACGCAGGTCAAAATGCAATCGGCACGAGCTAGGATCTTACGAGGATGACGATGGTGACCGCAGATGTTTCACGTTATTGAACGAATTTCTATTACCATAATATTTTATCGTCTTTCCTACAGATGATCAAGCTCGTATATGAATACTTTCAAGCAAAAAGTTAGTTAGTTAGTGGAGTTCTATAATGAATGGTTTCATGGGATAGAATGGTTTTTTATATCTTTAATAATCTTTTTTGGCCAAAGATTTAATATTTACAAAAATCTTTTATAAAATATCTTTTAAATATATATTAAAAGTGCCCACCCAAGAGCTAAACCACAACAAGACATAGCAAAAACCATTCCTTTTGCTAAAAATAAGAAATTCACTTCATAGCTTTTGATTTTACTGCATATATTTTGAAAAAAATGTTGGCTTAAAATATTAATAAATATTTGTTTAAAATTAAATAATGGAAAAAAAAGTTGTGTTTTCAAAAACTACATAACAGCAGTATCAAAAAAAAAGGTTATTAAAATTTACAAATTAGTCTAAGAAATTATTTACAAAATTGTGATGTTGCTTAGTTAAGGACTTAGGAACTAGTTAAGCGTCATAGTTAAGCGTTTTCCCCCCGTTTGTCAGCGTTGCTCGCTCTCTTTCTTTCGTTTCTTCTTTTCCTCGTGGCTTTCTTCAGGTTTCTTTTCGAAGGACCTCTCTTTATACATAGATAGATGAAGGCAGGGCCAATCCCACCTCGAAGTAGTTGCGCTCGTCGACCTTATATCGTTTAATGGGTGACTCCTTGGCGATGATCTCCTTGCGGCCCCTCTTCAGGGCCTTTACTGGTGTCTCCATGCAGAAGGTATTGTCGCAGGTTGCAGGCTTTGGAACCACAGGAGTTGCCAGTTGAATGAGCACGTTGTGCGGTATTTTGGTCAAGGGAGAGGCCGGCTCTGGAGTTGCCATCAGATGGTGCATGGGCAGAGGCACCAGGCCAAAGCTTAGATCGGCAGCTGGGTCATCTCCCGGTGCGTAGGATGGCGACAGGACCTCTTGAGGGCAATTCGACTCCAGTTGCTGTTTCATCAAGGTTCGTCGACGTAGATTGAAGGTGGACCTCCTGGTCTTCTTCTTGCTGCTGTCGTCTGCCTTGCAAGCGGAGTCCAATATGGCATCTATGAGGCGATCCAATGTCTGATCACCCATTTGGGTGGAAGCGGGCTGCGGAGTACTGGGACGAGCTCCCATCTTGGTGGGTGGCTCCTGGACTTCAGGCTCCATCGTGGCCGCAAACTCATCGTCCAACTTGCGCTGCTTCAGCTGAATTATTCCAGCACCCGAGCCGACTATATAGCGTGGTTGTTCCAGAAAAGGATCCAAGGGAGGCAGACCCCGCAGGGCCAGATGCTGGCCACTTGGCAGACCATTGGGCGAGTAATCCTCGGCGAAACGTGGCAAGGTGGTGGCATATCTGACACTCTGGACCCTTTGGGGAGCCTGATTCCGGACCACCGGCTCCGGGGTGACATTTCGAATATCGCTCAGAGGAGCCAAAACCAAGGGGCTGTTAAGCAGCCGGGAAATGGGCACTGGAGTGGAGGTATAGCCCACTGTATCGGGCACATTCTCTTTGTTGGCTATCGTGGCCCTTCTCTGACGTCTCTGCCTCCTTTGAAGTCGCCTCCGTTGGGTGTTGTTGGGATCCTGATCCTGCATGGGAATCTCGTTCAGGCGCTGCCCCGATGCCGTCCACTTAAGCATTTTGTATGATTCGGATTCTGGTGCACAAAAAAAAAGATATATCTCTAGACTCTGCTAGTCTTCTGCTCTCGACCGCTCTCGCTGACAAACTGAAGCGGTACGGGGAGCGGGCTGCGTTTTATACCCGCTCGGCGCTCAGGGGTTAATGGCTAGGGGTTACGGGGTTAGGGGTTGTTGCGCAAGAGGCACCCCAGCGGGCAGAAGGACATTCGCTCTCTCCATCGCTCTCTCTCTCTCTCTCTCTTTGTGTGGCCTACGAGTACTCTCTGTAACAAAGGGAATCTCCAGACAGAGATGTCTTTGGCTACAAAGTATCTTTCGATCCTCAGGAACTTGGGCAGGAAACTTGAGAGTTTGATAAGCTTCATAAGATTCTTCTTAGTTAGGAACAAATCTCTCTGAAATAGTTCTTAGACTTAGTTCAACTTCCTGAAAAAAAAACAGAGGTATTATGATTTTATTTCATCACTCTGTTGGCTAGTTTCATCCTTTCCCACAGTTGCCTGTCCTGGCCGGAGATCCCCTACCCCAATCCAATCCACTCATCCACAGCGCCACCACACGAAAATGACATCTAGATGTCTATCGGCCAGCGCTTGGTTATTAAACTTGCTTTCATTCCCCTCAAGGAAGTCCGCTTCCTTTTCTCCCCCTCATTTGAATGGACGTTTAGAACAGCAACAGGCTGGAAAACTGAAAAACTGAAAAAAAGAAGGAAAGAAGGAAGCCCAGGTTGGCCAGGCTAATTAGCCCTGCCCAGTGCAACTTCCTGGCCGACAGCTCCTCGTCATTTTAGCCACTTGTCGTTGTTTGGTATCAGTATTAATTGCGGCTCTTTAGCGGCCGCAAATGCAATTTATATTCTTGGGCGGCTTTAATTGAAAATGTTCGCCACTTCCGGAATGAAGCATTAGAAAAACGTTACATACTCTGGGAAAAGTCCTGGGCAAAGCGTCAGTTGTTCACCCAGCAGGGGGAAAGTTCAGGTGAAGTAAGTATGTTCATTATCAAATTATCAAGTTTCTAAAAGGTTCCTCGTTGGCTGTTATTTAGTCAAAATACTGCTACTAATTGATTATTATATGATATATATATCAGTTATTATATATTTTTGAAGATTGATGGAGTCACACCACTTCCTATGTAAAGTTAAGTTAAGAGCATCGTCTGTCCTTACAACATAGCCGCAGCCAAGGAATATGAATATGAATATGAAATATGGAACCAATAATCTGATGACAAGATCAAAGAAAACTGCCCACATATGTGGCTCTTGGCCAGCTGTAGATGAAGTGATCATCGAGATCCCTGAGTGATCTTCAAGTGATGACCGACCAGCGATCCTAAGTGAGGCTCAAGTGATCCGAGCTCGTCATTTTCTGGACTTGGATCACTCAAAGTGTCCGTGACCAAGGCTGCTGGGCGCTATCTGGTGATCTGATCTCGTTTCGAATATATATGTTACTTTCCCTCAATGGGCTCTGGTCCCCTACTAATCTCTTTATTTGCGATCTTTCGATCGCTCAAAGATCTCCGCTAACGGGGATCGTATGTTTCGCACGTTATCCTTTCGTTTTTTTTTGCGGTGAAAGTTGTTTGGTTTTGTAGGTTTTCTTTGTGACTATCTTTCGATCGGCCTTTGTCCTGTCGATTGGGAGAGAAAGGGTGCCGGGTAGTTAATTGATTGCCTCGTTCCATCCACCGAATGGCGAATTTCTCAATTTCTCAACTTTTCAACTCTGTTCCTGCGTTTTTCTTTTGCGAAATCCTTTCCTTTTGCTTACTTTTTACCTAGTTTTCTTACGATTTGCCCTCGTTATGTCCTGCTTGCGTCGAATCCTTTTTGTGGCGCTGAGTTATCGCTGTTTGAATAGCCGCACAAAAGGATTAAATGGGATTTTGAGAGAGTTTTCAAAGCAAAGAAGGGATATCATCGGCATGTTGATTAATATGATTTAACGAGCATCCTGACAAACAAGGCGTATCCCGATTTGTCTTCGCTTGTAATTTTCTGAACAAAATTACCATAATCCTCGAATTTTCTGCGGTTTTTAAAGGACAGCAAAGAAAAAAGGAAAAGAACAAGAAAAAACAAATGGATAAAGAACTACACGAAAACCACTCAAATTCAATTTGAATTTTCAGCATTTCGTGTGCGACGATTTTACGCTTAATTAACGAGCCCAAGGACCCTGCCTCTCAAGGGCTGCCCGAAGTCACGATCCAGTCCCGATCGCTGTACATGCTATATGCAAATTGCCCATGCATTTTTTTACCACTCCGCCCCGACTGGATCATCCGTCCCTTTCCCCCGCCCCCTGCCCCCGTTGCCCTCTCGCTCGCTCGCACGCTTGTTTAAGGGAGAGCGCGTCGCCAAGAGGCACTTGACTTTCACTCTCACTCTTTCAGGGTCTCCTGAGATTCCGAGGTCCCGGGCTACTGAAGCGGAGTAGGAAAGAACCGAAGGGATTTGCATGCTCGATGGCCTGTGGCTAAAGGCCCGCCACTTTCGCGCATAAACTTTGCAAATCCTGCCAGAGATGCGCGCTTACTCTTTTTTCTAGCTAGTTTTTAAAGGGTTAAAGGGTTCTGCAAAAGAAAGTGCAGGTCGCAGAGTAAATCTGCAATACTAAAAAGGCTGAGCTAACCAAATAGATTTAGTTAGACTTTTGAGTATGCCTTAAGCCCTTTGACATTTCTGATGTAGCTATTCGATCCTCTCTGATCGGCTCGTCCCTACTTCCCTCCCCTTGGACCGCCTTTGCATACACGAGTATGTGTGCTAACATGCAGATCGAGCACTTTCGCAGGACCTCATAGATAGGGCTGCTTTATTGTTGCTGCCTGTGATTAATGCGCCCGCGATCGCATTGTTTGCGAAATTTATCGATATTTGATTTGCTGCGCGCCGCCGCCTAGAATGGTACGCGTATTCGAAAATGCTCAGAAGTGTATCAAATGTTTGTCGCGCGGCTTTGTTTGCGTTTTGCATAATGAAGGGGAAAGTGTTTGCCAAAGGGGGAAATTCAAATAGAAATGGTAATAGAAGTAGGGAAAGTGCCAGTTCGCGACTTCATTAACGCATTTTGCAAAAAAGAAAAAAAAAGAAAAGGCTGTGGGGATTTTTACGACTTTGACTTTGAGCGGAACCCACAAAAAAGTGAAACCATTAAATCATAAATGAACTGAAATGATTAATTGATTTCATAACTTTTTACGCTGATACTTTTCGGTTAGGTTGAGAGCAGGGCAGCAGGGGAATAAAATGACTGGCAGAATATAAAGGATAAATGGCAAGGAGCTGCTGCAATGGCAATGGCAATGGCAATAGCCATAGGCAATTGCAATAGCAACAGCAATAACGGGCCCCTGGCAAATATCATGTTTATGCTCATAACTTTCCAACTCAAAAGTCGACCAACTGTCAACTGTCAAATACGAGACAATTTCGCAAACGAATCCTGGCCATGTGGGGTGGGGGGATGCTCTCAGACTCGATTTGTGACCCTGAAAAAATAAAGGAGAGGCAGAGCAAACTGGAACACACGAAGGACACCCAAAGGATGCGTCTGAGGCAGACATCGTGCAAGACAATGGATGCCATAATGAAGAGCAGATACAAACACAGATACAAACGCAGTCGCAGTCGCAGACGCAGAGAGACAGATACCGATTCAGCGAAGATCCCGATACACAGATACAGATACGCAACGGGAGATATCTGCAGCATCCAAGAAGCAAAAAGTAAATTACAACAAAGGGACGCTGAAGGAAAGGATGCGAAGTGGGCAAAAAAAATCAGAGGGCCGGGGCTGAAATTATTGCAAATAATTTAGAGCACATATTGCAAGGATCCGAAAAAAAGGATCCGAATGCCGATCCCTTTTCGGTTTGTTCGTTTGTCATTTGCCCACAGCGAGAATCAGCAAGGACTCGCAGGAGCAAACCCAAGAAGTAGATCTCCCAGCCCCTCGAACATAAATTTGCAACAATTAAAAACAAAGTTAATTAAAATTTATGTGCGACAGTTTCTGCACACTCGAGAAAAAGAAAGTGCGGATCGGGCCCATCCTTTTACCTAATTGCTGGGTGTGTCCTGCGAAATGGGGAGGCATTCTACGCTTCAACAGGCCACTTAAAAAAGAGATAGGGGACATCTCCTGTCCGATATAAAGAAAGAAAATCCGAGTGTGGCAAATAAAGATGTTGGGCCGTACATAAAAAATGGGCGGATCAGTAGGCAGAGACGCTGACCAGCGTTGACCACTGCTTGACCTATAGGGTATTAGTCAAATAAATGCCCACATTTATTCACAAAAGACTTTATTCAACTTATTCCTCGGGTAGTCAGAATTAAGATTAAAAGAGTATCTTAAAAATGTACACCGAAACAGTATAATCAAAGGTCCACAGCCAAGTCACGACGAAAAAACAGTGAAGGAGTTTTAAATTTGATTTTTTTTACAGAAACACTATTTATGTTTTTCTGGTAGCACTACCAAAAATGGTTCAACTTATCTCGATTAGTTTGTTTCTTAAGTCCTAGTAGATCTCCAATCAAAGTTGAGAATCCAAAATGTTTGCCATTTTCACAAAAAATTATGATGTTACCCCTTATCGAAAATGCAGAAATAGCTTACTCCCATTTTTCTCCTCAAGAGGATAGTGTTATGTCCATAGCTTAGTCAGTAATGATCGGAATATGGAATGTAATATCTCGCTGAGTTTGTCTTCGAATTCCTAGTCGAACTGTATTCTGTATGTTTAAAAAGTCAAATTTTTGTAATTTTTCCCATAAAAAAGCTGATGGTTACCCCTTATAAAAAATTCGAGACTTTAGTATGTCAGCCTAAAAATGAAATTGACGGTTAGTTTTGCTTGTAAGCTTCACAAACCAGTCGTTTTTCTGTTCTTGTTGTCCTGTTTTGACTAATTTATAACTCCTAAACCGATACAAGTACTGGCTCCTCCCGCCCGCTGTTCTCGAATCCTTTGGTTGATGCCGGTCTGGCGGCGCCCGATTTGCATAGAAACCGCAATTGGCGCCTCAAGTTTTACGATACAGCGGGGGGCTAGGATCCTCACGATCTGGGCTGCACTGTCTTGCTCCGATGCCGA